AGAGACAGTTCAACGGATTTCAAATCTTGACTTTATAGTGAGTAGCTAAGTCAATCTCTGAAAGGAGCGTGATGGCACCCTGTCATTGCCTTCTCATAAGGATGAAACACAGGACTCTTTGTAAAGAATTTTAAGATGTTCAGTTAAAACATGTCAACTTAGGCAGATGGTCTACATCCACCCAATGCAGCAAAAATTAATAGAGAGAGAGAAGAAGAGGAGGAGGAGGAGGACTTCTGCTAAGATGGTGACCAGGTTAGAGGGTCCTGCTGGAGCTCTGAAGGGACGGCTTAGACTGGGGACCAGGAGGCTGAGTGGGGGAGCCAGAGCATATAATTAAGACTCGCGGCAGCCCAGAGCTCTTCTCCGACCTGGAGTCGTCCTTCCCCACACCTGGACCTGTACTCACTGCGGCCTGGTACCACGGCCACCCTAGCCTGCGCAGCCCCTGTGCTGCATTTCCTGTCCCAGCCAGCCCCGTCTGCAGCCAGAGCCTACCCACAGCGTGTCCTTTGCTCTCCAGTTCCAGCTTCCCCATGTGATTATGGCTCTTGCAGCCAGACCAGAGCCCACCCGCTGCCCGCCTGTGGGCCCAACAGATGCCCACCACCTTCCCGCGGTTCCCCACTCTTATTAAAGACTTACCCAGACCTAGCCCCACTCTTATTAAAGACTTACCCAGACCTAGTAGACACAAAATGAATTCGAAGGCCTCCAGATTGGCAAAGAAGTAAAACTCCCTCTGTTTACGCATGATATGATTCTGTATGTAGCAAACCCCAAAGACCTGACAAAACTATTGCTGGAACTAATTGAAAAGGTTGACAGTCCGGATGGATACATGATTAATATAACAAAATCCACAGGACTCCTGTAGAGTAAGGAGGCGACTCTGGAAAGGAGAGTAAGGAAACGCTCACAATGTAATCCAAACGATAGGAGACTTAGCAACAAACCTAGCCAGAGAAACAATATTTCTACACAGAAAACAGACAGCTCTCCTGTAAGACACCCAAAGAGAGGTATTGAAATGTAAGAAGGTTCCAGGTACACGGAAAGGCTCGATGTTGTGAATATGTAGAGCCTGCTGAAAGCAGTCTATAAATATCATGCAATTGTGTTCCCGATGAAAGCATCATTCTTCATAGAAATGGAAAAACTTATCGCTAACTTTATATAGAAAAGAAAGAACTCCAGGAGAAGCACATCACTGCTAAAGAAAAAGAGGAAAATGGGAAACCTCTCACTTCCTGTCTTCAAAAATTATTACAAGTCACTAGTGAAAGAATCCTGTTAGTGTTACAATGATAGGCTTGTAGACAGATCACTGATGCACTTACAGACTTTACAAAGGGCCAAACCACACTACACGGAGAAGAAATCATCACTCAGCAAATGGTGCTAGCAAAATGGAGATCCAATCGCAAAAAGAAAAAAGAAAGGAATATACAAGAGCCATCTCTCACACGACATATAAAAATGAGACGGATTAAAGATCTAAATGTAATTCTAGAACTATAAGATCATCACTAAAAAAAAAGTGGGCCGGACAAAAATGAAGACGCAAATCCAAGGTATCAGTACAACAGGAAAAATAACACCAGAACAACAACAACAACAACAACAACAACAAAACCATCCACAAAATAGAAGAGAGTTAGAGACCTGGGAGTTCCTAAAATATGAAATTTGTGTACACCAAAAAATTTCATCAAAAGCTCTGAAAGGAACCCACTAAAAATGGTTAAAGGGTCAAACTAACCCAACAGTGGCCTGGCAGGCAGGTCTAGTGATCTGCTTCTGCAGAGATTACCACTAAGAAACTTTCAAGGTCTCGGTTCTATGCTGTAACACACTGGGCCACCTGGTTTCACAATCGACTTTGAGGCAATGATTTGGGTTTAGCCAGGGAGGTTTTAGGACATTGTCCATAGAATATGGCAACATAAGCTTTTCTGAATAAAATTGCTAATATGGGTGATTACAAGCCAGTCGAATAATAAAGGATTTTTAATCTCCTTTTCACTCAAGAAAAATATACTGGAAGGGAAAGCAAAAGGAAGGCAGAATTGTGGTGATTAAAACAAATCAAAACATCAGGGTTGGTGAAGCGGAGGGTCAGTGAAAGTCCAAGAAACCCTCTAGGCTGAGACAGTGGCTCCAACAGTGGGCACAGGCCCAGCAAGGACCACGAAGATGGTGCAGGTCTGGGGAGTGTTTTACTCTGCTGCACAGAAGGTCACCATGAATCAGAGCAGACTTAAAGGCAAGCTACCATCTTGGGAAAGAAAGGGGTATGTAAAACCCTAACTATGGGGAGAATCTCTACATAGGTTCCAAATTTCTTTCTCTATGTCTCCTCATTCACAAATACGCACACAGATAGACACAGACACACACAACTTACCACTTCGCTTTCATTTCTTTTGGATGAGTCATGAAAAATTTTCCATGGATATCTGAGCTGTGTATCAAATTGTAGAGGGGGAAAAAGTCTCCGAGCACCAGGTCCCCATCCCTGTAGACACTGGGCTGTGTGAAATCTTCACATTCAGACAGCCATTGTGAGCACTGGACTGGGAAGCTGCCAGAGGAGAGACAGAAGGAGCAGAGAGAGCATCCCACCTGTGACTCACCAGCCTGACGTAGAGCCCTGAATCCCTGAATAGGAGGAAGAATTGGAAGGAGCCTGGATAAGTCAGCCTTATGCTGGGAAACACGACATCTATGCAGGGCTCAGATGTGTGTGAGATGGCTCTCTCACCCTCCAGCCTCTGGAACAACACAGGGACTGTCAACCAAAGGCAGTGCTGGAAGCAAGGAAGAGCTCTCTCAATCTCTCTCTCTATATACATATCTATATCTATATAGACAGATAGATAGATAGATAGATAGATAGATAGATAGATAGATAGATAGATAGATAGATCTGCCCTCAAAGCCACTGCGGACTTCAGGGGCTCTGCTCTGCTCTTCCCCTGACTTCCTCAGGGCAGCCCCATCTGGTCACTTCTGTAGATAAAATCCCTTAGGGCTCTGCCTGCCCTAGGGCTCCACACCTGAGACACAGATCAAGCTACAAACACAGGTAAAGACAACATGTTTTCAACTATTTAACTTAATTGGACGAGCGTGTTGCCTTGAGCTGTGTGTTCTTTGAAGATCCCCTATGGGATCACACAGACAGCAGTAACTTTTTGTGGATTAGGCTAGAAACTTGAGGAGAGGGAGTTTATGTGAATATGGAAGGGTCATCTCAAGAGAGGAGGGCAAGAATCTTCCCACAAGTTCTGGAATGTCAGTTATCTGCATCATTGAAATGTGTATGGAGACATGGCTGCGTTCATGCATGCTTTCCTGTGTGTGTTCTCAACAACCACAAATGAAACCACTTTAAAAGAAAGACATATTGGGGTCATTTCAGTCACTCCGGGATCCAGCAATGTCATGTAAATGGGGGAGAGCGGAGCTCTGCAAATACCTCCTGCTGCTTCTGCTTCTTCATCGTGGGTAACGCAGATTTCACTGCAATGAGCGCAGTTGTTTGGAATCAGAAGAGCCAGTGTGGCCCTCAGTCAAAGGTCTCCTTGCGCTCCTTGGTGGTGCTGGGCAGGAGGGCACTGCAGTGACCAGAGATATCACAGGATGTGCTTTAGAACTCTTATCAGAGCACGGATGAGCCCTCTCTCCAGCCCAGCCTAAGGTCTTGGAACATGGTCAGAAGAAGGGGTTTTGTGATCACTCAGGAAATGAGTGTTCTCTATCCTATTTTCCATCAGTTTGGCAATTGCTGAACTAAAATCATTTATATGTATATGAATTTAATTCTAGTGTAAATTCCCTCTGAGGACCTAGGGAGTGCAAGGGGGTAAAGGTCAGCCCCTACTCCAATGGTAAGCAGTTCAAATAACCAGCAGCACCTCAGAAGAAAGGCCTGGTGATCACAATCACAGAGAACACTATGGAGCAGTAGCACCCGCCGTGTTTCCATCTGAAGGCTGTGAACATGGAGAAAAAAAGAAAGAGCTTTTATGGGATGAATTTCAGTTTAAATATCACAAGTTTTCATGCTCTCTCTGATGCCCAAACTTCCTAGACCCTGAGGGACTCATCTCG